CTCCCCCCCCCCCCCCCCCCAGGCACCACTGGGACCCCCGCGAGGGTCCGTCCCGGGTGCGAGCGTCCTGGAAAGCAGCGGGGCAAGGACGCAGTTCGCCAGGACGCCACCGAGGAAGGTTTCTGCCTCTGGTGGGGCTGGCGAATTCGCCATCTTGACGTCCCCAGAGCCACTAGGACTCCCCCCGGGACAAACCAACCTAACGTTTCCCTCTCCCGGGTCCCTCCGGGGACCCCCCCGTGCCCTCCATGTCATCACCTCGTGAGCGACCGACGAGGTCCCCGGGGGCGAAAGGCGGCCGCGACGACCGGCGAGAGAAACGCAGAGAAATCATTGACCAAAAGCAGTCACTGAGGTAGGAATAAAACTACGACTCCCTGAAAGGCAGCGAGAGCTCCGGCTCCGAGAGGCAGGGGAATCGCGCCACCAGGCTCAGCTCCTCCTCCTCCTCCTCCTCCTCGGGGCCCCGGGATGCAGCGAGCACCGAGGGGAAAGCTGCCCAGAAGCCACGACACGACACGCAAACAGCACCGGTGCAGGAGGCCACGCCGGGACGGGAGGCGTGCGGAGGAGCGGCGGTGGCGGCACGCTCGGCGGCGGCCCTACGGAACGGGGAGAAGAGCCGAGAGGCCGGAGACGCAGCAGCAAACGGTTATTAGAAACGGGGAACCCAGCGTTACACCCCGAAGCGAGGAGGGGGCTGGCAGCGAGGGGGCTGCCCCAGGTCGGTTGCGGAAGGGGGACCGGCTGCTCCCCAAGGGGTGAGCCCAGGAGCCAGGCAGGTTCCCAGCACGACCTGCCTCGCCGCCAGGGAAAACCCTCAGCATCCCCTACCCAAAAAACACCGAATCCTCGGTGACTCAGCGGGACAGGGAGGCGTTGCGCAGCAGCAGGGGAATTCAAATTACAAAGAAAAAAGCAGTCCGGCCTCCAAAAAAAACAGCCTAAGGCAGGTGACGGAAAACAGCCGGAGCGGGATGAACAGCTTGGAAAATCCCTCCTGGAAACGAAACCGTTTGAGAGAAGGGGTTGCGAGGGTTACGGTAACGCCGCAAGGAGCCTGGCGAGGAAAGCAGGCGCTCGCCGGGCATCCCTCAGCCGGGATTTCACAGCCGAGGTGGCGACTTCTGCCCGCCTTCGGGCTCCCCGGACAGCGGAGAGACGGCTCAGCGCCGCCGGCGCCCCGCGGCACAGCCCGTCCTCCTAAACGACTCACGAAGCAAAGCTCCTTCAGGGGACGGCAGGTCCGTCCCCGCGGCGCTCGGCTCCCAGTCCGTCGCACCGGGGATCCCCCGCTCCCACCAGGAGCGGCGTGGGAGTTCGAGAGCCTGATATGAAACAGCAGCCATCCCCACCGGGGTTTTTTTTGGGGACACACACACACACACGAGGCTCCCTGCCGTGAGGGTCGGTCCATCACGCTCTGGCCAGTCTGGGACGGGTGGGAGTCGGGACGCAGCTAGCGAGGACCAGCAACGGGCCATCCCGGGGCGGGGGTTCCCGAGTCAATAAAAGTGTTTCCGGCTCTGCTCCTGCCACTTGTTGTAGACGATGACTCCAATGACGATGGCGAAAACGATGGCAACGAGGGAGAAGAAGACGATTAAGAAGAGAGCCAGGCCGCTCATGGGCTCCAGCGGTGCCTCCACTGTGTGACAGAGGAAGAACAACAGCCCGTTAGCCCCCGGGGAGCTCAGCGCCCCGAAACCCAGCTGAGATTTGCCTGCACTGGGGGGAAGGGGGGGTGTTTAACCGCCCCACACCGACACACCGGTAACCCCACACACACCCTGGCAGGCTCGCGCCATCCCAGGGTTTGGCTTCCCAAAGCTTTTCAGGCCCAGCTCACTGTAAGCCGTGAGACCTCGGGGCACGCAAGGGGCTCGTGGACGCGTCTGCGGTAGGATTTCCAGAGGGGGAGATGACACTGTCGAGGTTCAAACCTCCACGAGCTTTCCAGGGGACCAGCACACCCCGTTCTGGTCATGGCACGACCGAAGCGGAGCGGATAGGCTCAGCCCAGCGGGCCAGGGCAGCACTTCTCCGAGGGCGAGGGCTGCTGCCCACCACGCCCACGCCAAACGGAGACTGGCCGCGACACGGG